TGAGCAATTTGGGGGTACAAAATTGCAAGCTTGCGGATATGCATAGATATGGTTCTCACGGAGTCCATTGTCAGCGGGCTCTCTTCGACTTCGATGGCCAATTCCACGGGTGAGGGATCGTCCTTGGCGATGCGAACTATTAATTCCCGTAGAATCTGGAGAGATACCAGCCTCAGCCTGTGTGACGGGCTTGCCAGGTTCACGATTAGATCTTGGGCAAAGTCCTCCAGAGTAGGATGTTCGAGATCCGCGGAGGGTGGTAGAGAAGAAATGAAAGCAAGCGCACCCTCCAAAAAGACTGGCAGGCGGGAGAATTTTGTAGCAGTGGCGATGATCGGTTTCAAGAGACTCGAGTCAAGCTCTCCAACTTTGTTAGCGAGTTCGACATATGTCTTGAATCCTTGGCCAAGGAAAAACACCAGGCCTTTCGTCTGGACATTGTTGCCTTCAGCAGCACCATCTTGGAATGCTGATAGGAGGTTACTGTGCAACTTAGAAACCATCTTGGACAATGTGGCAGAATCTGCAAACAAAGAGATAGCGGCTGGAAGTTTCACCAGCGCATTCAAGAAGGCTTCATCTTTTGTGGGGTACTCCAATGAATCAGTGATGCGAGATTTGAAGGCATCTGGGCAGGAAATGTAGCCAGGTTGCGAAGTCTCGGGCGTGATGCAACCAGCCTCATGCAGACGTAGTAGTGTGAAACAAGTCTCCCACTCTGACTTTTGCCATGATGAGTTGATAAACTTCTGGAAAGGTGAAAGAAGCAAGCTCTGGAATCGCTCTGATCCCCACTCTGAAAATGTTGCGCAGAAAAATAAGAAATACTTTGAAAGCGGGCCTGTGGACACCAGGTCCATAATAGGGCGAAGGAAAGGCAGCAACTCATCCATGGGGGACACCTGCAAGGCGTATGCGACGCTTGTAAGGAGCTGTGATATCGTCGCTGATGATACATCAGACGCCGACACCTGCTGAAGCAGGGACACCTGGATCTGATGAACGATCTTCCAGTTTTGGATTCTGACACCCTTGCGAGTTGTCACAAGCAGGAACATTATACGGCAGCACTCCGAGAGGTTAGGATTCGGGGTTGATTTTGAGCGATCTTCGATATAAACCTTGACCGTGTCGAGGATGGGCCCGAAGGTATCAGGAGTGGTGGCGTGGACAAGGCTGACGACCAAACCAAATATAACTTCCGCAGGATCATTGTGATTGTCGCTAGTCGGAGGCATTTGATTCAGAACACAATGGAGGATATCCATGCCATTGGAGTGAAGCCCGTTGTTGACTCCCCTGATAGCATCAGAGAACATAGTCATCAGTCCTTCCCTGTAGTTCTCGGTATCCTTCTTCTCGTCGGCGGCTTTCGAGATATCGTCGAAGAGGAATGAGACGGCGGTCTCGAGGGGTGCTTTGTTTTTGTAATAAACAAGGCCGGCCTTTCTGATAAGGAAAGACATCGATTCAGCGGCAAACCTCGCCACAAATGGCTTTTGTCGTTCTTTTCCGAGATATGGAGTCATGATACTCAGCAGTTGTCGCAGGTCCGGCACCAACAGACGAGAAAGGAATTTGAAGATCCATGCAAGACAGGTGAAACTCCATTCAACAACCTCAATATCGGGATGTGTTGCTGCAACGGACGACACCAGTGTCACCGCCGTAGCAAAGTGCTTTTCGAACTTGACGCCCAGATCCCGAGCAAATTGCGCAAGCAAGCTCAATAGCGGCTCCATAGAGAGCTGATCTCTCTTCTCTATGAATTCCACCAATGTAGCCATAATCTTTTCTTCATGATACAGAACTTGCGCAAAGCTCTCCGAAAGAGGGTTGACACGCCGTACGAATTGTGTAAAGTTGTCTGAAAGGTTCATCTCGAACCAATGATCAAGGGCCGCTCGAAAATAAGAGGATGTTTCGTCTTCATCTTCGCCGAAACTGGCGCGGCGCACGCGGTGGATCGGGTCGATTTTGAGCTTTGTGATGCGTGATGAAAAGCCCTCGAATCGATGATTTTTTGTGGTTTCGGTGCCCGTTTTTAGGCGCCTAACAGGCTTTGCTTTTGAGCCTGTCCCCACCATCTTGACGGGTCTGACGAGCAGCACTGTTCGTAAGAAAGGTACTGGTAACTTTTTTTCTGGCTGATCCGCATGGAATACAAAAAAGTTCATCGGGACGGGATTTCCTTATTCCGAGGCCGATATCTATGCTCATCACGTGCTGATAAGATGGCCCAAGCTCCTGCTTTCGAGAACCCGGGATGTTCTATCCTGCATCTAGTCGCATGTAGTTGATCTCTGGTGGCACCTTTGGACAGTTTGGGTGTTTGAAAAAAGTCCTTTTCGAGGCTTCTCCTCTTCCTATTCCTCACTTTTTCAACATCTTTTTATCAACTTTCCATCAACTTTTTCAACCCTTTCCTGTACCAACTCAACTTACCATCCAAGACAGACCCAAAAATGGTTCCCAAATGGTATGTATGTTCAGGTCTGCATTTATTCCAGTAGCTAACCTAATCCATATGTAGTATTGTCTTTGGCAGCTTGAACGGTCAAATACGGCCCGTGTTCACCAAGCTAGCCAAGCTGCAGCCAAAGCAGAATTTCTCCTTTGCTATCATTCTTGGTGATCTTTTCGGTGATGGCTCGACTGAAGATGAGCTCAAGGATATTACCGCCTTGATACAGGGGAACATCAATGTGGCATGCCCAACCTACTTCACCCTAGGTGACCGACCACTTCCCCCTCAAGTGGTCGAAAAGATTGAAGCAACTGATGAAGTGTGCCCCAACTTGTTCTTCCTGGGTAAGCGAGGAACTTTGAAGACAACAGATGGTATCCGTATTGTCGCCCTTGGTGGAACCATGGGAGAGGCAGAGGGTAGATCCAAACCCGAGAGTAATGCTAGTGGCAAGTTCCAGCAGACATACAGTGAATCTGATGCTCGTGCACTGTTCGGGATCCACAAAACCGACATTCTTATCACCAATCAATGGCCAAAGGATGTCCGTCTAGGATCTAGCTGTGAGGTCTCTGGGAATAAGGAGACTGTGCCATCTGAATTACAATGCATTGCTGATGTCTGCGCGACCCTGAAACCCCGGTATCACTTTTCTCGGTCAGACGGTGCTTTCTTCGAGCGTGAACCTTTCTTTCACATGCCATCGGAGGAGGGTCAAGATGTCTACAAACTCACTCGGTTCATCTCACTGCCTACTTTCGGCTCATCGAAGAATGCTATCTATGCCTTTAACTTGGACCCAACAACACCTTTCCCAACCAGTATCCCTACAGGCTCCACCATCTGCCCTTGGTCGGCGGCACAAAGCAGGCGCCAGATGCTCCCAAGCCAAAACGAATCATACCAACGCTACGCACCCTCCGACAGAGTTAGAGACCCGGGGCACCAGCGCCGACACAAAGAACGGGCTCCTCCGCCGGGCCCAGAGAATTGTTTCTTCTGCCTTTCAAATCCCAATATCGCCACCCATCTCATCACCTCAATCGGCAATGAGAGCTACATCACCACCGCCAAAGGGCCATTGCCCACAAAGGAATTTTACCCTTCTCTGGGCTTCCCAGGTCATATGCTCATCATCCCCTTCGAACACTGCCCGACCATCGACCTAATCTTTGACCCGGCCATCCGAGCCTCGACCTTCGCGGAGATGCAACGGTACCGCGAATCCCTGCACCAAATGCTGAACGAGCGATCAGGAGGCAAGCTCGGTGCTGTCACTTGGGAAGTCAGCCGCTCGAACGGTATCCACACACATTGGCAATTCCTGCCGATGCCAGTGGAGAAGATCCGTTCCCGGCTTGTAGAAATGGCATTCAAGAAGGAAGCCTCGAACCTGGAATATTCGACGTTCAAGACCGTCCCAAACCCTGACGAAATCCATAACCACCATATGATCGACTATTTCCGAGTCTTTATTTGGACACCTACGCCCAGCAACGAAGCCGAAGTTGAAGGCGATAACTGGTCTGCACCTGAGCATAAAGGCGTTTGGAAGACTGAATCTGGAGAGGAGAATGTTATCATTATGAAGATCCTGCCGGAGAACCGATTTAATTTGCAATTTGGTCGTCAGGTTATGGGCAAGGTGCTCTATTTGGATGATCGTATTAACTGGAGGGATTGTGTGCAGACGGATGAGGAGGAGACGAAGGATGCGGAGGCTTTCAAGGAGGCTTTCAAAAAACATGATTTCGCGATGGAGATTGAGGAGTGAATTTGAGATCGGCAAGTTTATTCTCTTCCAGTTTCATACATGACAAATGTGTGTCATTGTGATCAACATTGGAAGAGGTCTTTCAGCGGGGAGCGTCTTCGGGAGCTCCCTCGTGTACAGTACGATGGCATGTGACAAATGAGTTCAAAATTGAAGCCAAAATTCACAAATTTTACAAATGCCAAAACGTATGTAAGAGATACTCATACTAACGAGTCTTCCCAGGGTATTTCGGCTAGAAATGGAAAGCATCAAGAAAGATGGTGCGACGATGATCGCGATCCCATCAAGAGACAACGCCAAAACCAGAGGTTCTAGCGCGAGGCCAGTCACGTGGCCATACCTTGTCATTACTTTGATCTACTAGTAGGTATGCATAGCATACATTCATGGATAGTACAACCTCAACATATCCAATCAGCAATCTAGAACCCCTTAAAGCTCTAGTAATCTTCAATTCTATCGAGATGAATTAAAGGGTATGACAATTTCTGCTAGGCAAAAACGCGCAAAGTCTGCCATGCAAGAGTATCAAACAAGTCGACCAAAGCCGACCCGATACAAGAGTCCAAATGAGGGAAACGATGAAAGAAGAGAAAACTGTTCAATTCCATGGCCAATTTTGGCCCCGGGTTATGGTATGTAAGTGGATATGCGAGATGAACTAAAACAAATACAGCCTGAGAATGGTATCAAAAGTACGTGAGAGGAAAAAGGAAAAGTTCTGTTCGTAACCGCCTCGATCGACGAGGGTCATACTCAAAAGTTGCTAGAAGCATTCAAGGTAGGCTTTTTACCGCTCTGCAACAGGCTCGGAGGTCTGTTGTTGTCAGGCTCTGGAATGGGGGTGGTGTTGGCGTGGGGGTTATATGAAGTATACTCGGAAGGCGAAGGGGCCGAGAAAGCAGGAGGGGGCGAAGAAGGAGCACCGGGGGAGAAGGCGCGGTATGGAGGCTGGGAGGTGTATGTTGGGGGATACTGGCTAGAACCGAAAGATGGCTGGCGCTGGAAGCCTTGTGTTGGGGCCGCGGCTGCGGAATGGTCTATTTCCGATGATGGGGAGAAGGACATTGGCACGGGGCTGTAGTTGGTATGCGGCTTGTATGCAGCCACCGGCGAAGGTGCTGTCACGGCATGGTAGCCATTGCCTGCGCTGTAGGAGTGGTCATCGTAGGCGTCGTGGTACTGTTGCTGGTCATAAGGGTTGTGGACTGGTGCGCCGACGGGCGATGTCAGGCCCGGAGAGCGCGGACCGTACGGGTCATGGGCTGCGGCACCATAGCCAGCTGCTTGGGCTGGGGGTGACATGACGGATGAGCGCCGCCCATATGGATCTTGAGTGGCAGTGAACGCCGCGGGTGGGCCCGGGGAACGTCGTGCGTATGGATCCTGCGCAGCACTGAGTGCCGCGGCCGGGCCCGGGGATCTTCTCGCATAAGGATCAACAGCTGCCCCATGGGAAGGCATGCCCGGCGAGCGTCGGCCATAGGGGTCTTGGACGGGATTCAATGCTGCTCCCGGGCCGGGAGACCGGCGTGCATGCGGATCAGTCGGCCCAAATCCTCTGTATCCCGCCGCAGCCCCGCCCATGGTTGGGTTGGGTGAATAGTCAGAGTAAGCGGCACCAGGTGTACCAGCACCCTGTTTTCGGTCCGGGGTGTTCAATGGCTCCATTTCGACGTCGTCGCGATGATTAGGGTCTTCAACATGCTTGTCAACGGCACCGGCCCAGGTAGGCATCTCAGGTAAGGCGTCCTCATTGATCTGAGCGGCCGGGGTCTTGGGCGCGTCGAAATGCGCAGTCTGCTGCGCGCCGCGGAATGAAGGCGCTCTCTGTTGCGCACCGCGATATGAGGGCGGGGCTGGCGACGCTTGATAGACCGGATTTGGAGCAGGTGGTGGAGGCTGGTGGAACGGAGGGTCATCAAAGTGCTTAGGCGTTTTGTTTCTGCGCCTGCCTGATGGACAGCAACAGCTACAGCAGCACTTGCAGCATTGATAGCCGCAACAAAGACAATTGACAACGCAAGCTAATACAGCGAGTAGAACCACCGCACCGACGATGATACCAACGATGACAGGCCACCTTGCGCCAATTAATTAGTATGATGCCAAATCATGCGCAAATACGAAGGGGGTGGGGGGGGGGGGGGGGGGGGGGGGGGGGGGCACATCCCCTAAAACACTCACTTGCAATACGATTTCGCCATACATTTGTCCCAACTGGAAAATGTGCTTGGAACTGACTCGAGATCACTCATGGTGTCTCGGGCCCATACTGTAATATTTGCTGGACTCATCTTGAGAATGAATAGCGTATGCGCGAGACGATAGAAAGGAAATCATCCGATTTCCAATGGCTGCAGAACAGCCGGCGATAATCTCCTGGTATGATCGAAACGAGACGCAGTCCAGAGTGAACTGTATCGCGAAATGAGATGTAAAAGCCGGGGTCGGAGGTAACGAGAGGGGGCGGGGCGCGAGGCCGAGATAATAACGATGCGATAGATGCGAAGTCACAGTAAATTAGACATGAGCGAATATGTACTCCGTACTCAGTGCAGAGTAAATAGATGCTAGTTCAAGGTGGATTGAACAGGCAGCAGGTTACTAAAATAGAACGATTTGACGAATAAAGACTGGAGAGAGAGTGAGACCCTATAGCAGGATCTAAGGAACTGAGGCGCAGGGTCTCAAAACGACTGAAATAGCCAAACAGGCACTGCGGGACTCGAGAGAAGAGCCCTTAAGAATGAGTGAATGAGTGAAATTGCTGAAACGCCAAAAGTTCGACGGGACAAGGGTTGACAGGGACAGGAAACCCCATAGTTCCCGCTTTCCCGCCTATCACATTCATCAGAAGGACTCGAAACGACAATCCTCATTAATTCTGTCGATCATTTAAGAATTTTACCAGGAGTTGAAGTTATTTTGAATTGTTTTTTTTTTCATTCTCACAAAGGGAAATCAAAAATGAAGTCTCCTCCGATTACCCTTTCCAGACCCAATTAAAATCTCACAAAGAGAAACACATCCAGAGAGAAATTGCCTGTAATACACAGGCAATTCTCGTTATGTACAGCTGTAAAGTCACTCTCGATGCAATATTACATCCTTAAGATCCTCCGCACTACCCCAATGACACGGTTCAAAGGGGGATATTATCGGACAATGCATTGAATACAAATGCTCCTGGCGAAGAATTCAACCAGCGAGACTGGCGTTGAGCATCGAGATGCAAGTTTGGTACAGCGAGGAATGACGATTATTCCACAGTAGAAATTCTGTACAAAGAAGGACCAAGTAGTGGATTAAAGGGCGATAATGGTGTCAAAAGAATGTTCGGAGAGAAAAGGAGATGCCAAAGTGTCGGCAAAATGTTCGATTGAAATCGTCGTTGGGGGTATTGTTTTCGTGGGAAAAGACCCATGAAAGGTATGAGAAAATGGAAATCTGGCGATGATAGGCCGTCTTCGTGCGCATTTTCGGATTCGAAGTTGCGAGGTCGTAAATAGACATATGAAATGGGACACTCAGATTAGAATGGGTCATGAGAGTCGATTGCCCGGGGAAGATCATGGGCGATGGTCATAGAGAGATGTGGCGAGATGCCAAGTGAAGGAAATATTGAGGAAAGCATGAACCCATGAGGTTAGCATGGGCCGTCAAGGAGAGGACGACACCGATATAGGTATCAAAGAGATGGGGGAAAAGGTGAACACAACACAAAGCAGACCTCAGCAGGACTGGGGTGGTTGAGAGAAGTTGAGGGTGAAATGAAAAGAAAAAGCCGCCGTAAAGCATCTTGCAATGCATCAGCCAAACACCACGCTCCAAGGACAAGACAAGAAAAAAACAAAAGATGCATGAGAATGCAAAACGCCAACAATGAAAGGTACTGGCGAGTCGATTTAGTAGGAAAGCATCCGGCGGCCGGGGGTCCGCGCAGGGACTGGGCTTTGAGAAAATGGAGAGCTTAGGTATCGGTTTCGCTCATTGTCACCAAGTCGACAGCGTCCAGTTGGGCTGTCTTCCATTCCGGGTGATTGGTCACCAAAGGCAAAAGTCTGGGCGCGGTTCAGCTTAGAGCGCTGCTTGACCTTGCCGAGTCCACGTTCGCAGGCAAATTCGTGCTCCTTGGCACTCATTTCTACATAGTTCTGGGGGAAACAGAAAGAGCGGTGTTCAGCGAAGAATGAGCTGTATCCACCATCCAGAATGTACATATCTGGGTATGACAGGTGAGGGTAAGTATCAACGTTGATGGCGCGATCATGGTGACGCAGGTACTTGGCCATAATGGGAGCACGGTGGGCAGAGTACTCGCAGTGCAAGACAAGCGCAGTGCGGGCCTGGGGGGCGCTGAACAGTTCACCAGCGAGACGCTCCTTGTCGTTATAGTTCAATGCGCCAGTGATGTGGCCACCCTCATACTCGTACTCGAAGCGGCAGTCGATGATGAGAATGTTGTCGAACTGGTCATTGAACTTGCCGTTCATGAGTTCCAGAAGAGTGCTTTTGTCGATGCGAGGCAGAGAGTCCGCACGATCCTCAGGGATAAAGTGAGGCAGCTTCATGCTGGGCGGGCTCGAAATGTCACTAATGGACTGGACGGGTGTATTTGTCGCTACCTTGGCCTCTTTATCGGCGATAACATCTGCTGGGTTCTCAAACATGCTCAATGATCGTCGACATTGCTTGCGGGGACGCATCAAAGGATGAGAGGGTTTGCGGATTGAACTGGACGCGGGGGAGCCGCTGCTACGGGCATGGTGAAGTGACGGCCGCATACGAGGCGGCGCCAGGTGAGTTGAAGAGTTGTTGCGAGAGATGGGACGCTCATGAGGGGGCGAGTCTCCAAACATATCTTCCAGAGAAGTGGACGTGCTAAGAGATGTCTTCGCTCCGGTTCCAAATCGGAACGGCGGCGCTTTGCTCTCCGGGGCAGGTCGCGTCAGTCCAAGTTGGAAAGATTGAGCCTTACTCCTGGCCAGGCTAGGACGCAGGAAAGTGGGCCGCTTCCTCCTGTCAGATAGAAATCTATGTTAGCCGGACTGATTTGGTGGCTGGCTGAACATCACGTGCACTTACTCAGGTGGGCATAGAGGTGACTCCATTGGAGACGCCTGCAGAGGGCTTGGTAGCGGAGACACCATTGGTGATTCCATAGGACTACCCCCGGGTGTCGGAGACTGTATCTCGATCTCGGCAGTGACATAAAATGCCGGCTTGTGAGGCAATGGAGACATTTCCATAACGTCCATAGCCGGAGCTGGTGAAGAGGATGGGAGCGGCGGGGTGGTCATCACATCATCTATATAACGTATCAGTCACTGCTCCACCCATTGTAGCTGGCGATTGCTTACCACGTCCATTGGCTTGACCAAGCATACTGGCCGTGAACAAAGACCGCCGTGGTGTGGCTAATTGGGGACTAAATATAGAGTTAGCCGGGCTTTGTCCCTTGGAACATGAAACGACGATGAGAACTTTGGCATACCTCTGATCAATATGGAAGTTCTGAGAAAGGTCAGCAGCCAAACTGGCTGTGGGAGAAGATCCTCGGATTGGTTTCATGTTGAAGTAGTCCGAACTAGACTTCTTCATAGACAATTCCTTGAAATTGAACGGGTTCCCACCAAACCCAGACATTGAACCCAGGGAATAAGAAGTCGATGCCTCTGAGCGAAAGCAATGTCCGAACATGACCGACGGAGGCTGCATAGCAGCGAGAGGTGAAGAGTGCTCCATGACCAACGAATTGCAACTGGACCAAAAAGCCGACGTTGTACAATTTCTGGGAAGGCAAGCAACCGGCGAAATAGACGGAAGGCAATCAGGCCCTGACCACAGATGTCTACCCAGTACTAGGTCCTACAAACTGAGGTTCAAAAAAAGTCTCAACGCACGTCTCCACGTTTGCAATTTCAACGTTATGGGTCCCCACGATCGCCGTGACAACCAGTTCGGGAAAAATTCCTAGGTCCCAGACCCTAACCACCAACGGCAAGAGAGTTGTATTTTGTAGACACAGGATTTATCGGTCCATGGCAAGCTTTTCGGAGGATTTTGGGTGTGAAATATGGTGAATATGTAGGTGACTGGAGGGGTCGGGGGGGGAGCTCGTGGGTGCTGCAGGTCTGAGGGGAAGGTCCAAGAATATGATATGTCGACGAACCCGAATAACAAAATTGAAACTCACAATGTCGAGTGAGGATTGTCGAGAGTAGTTAAGAAGAGAGAAAAAGTAGGAACAAAGCGGTTTGAAGAAAGAAGCCGTGAAGCTGAAGGGATGGGCTTGTTGCAATGGGCAACGCAGGTGGGGAGGATCTCCGAATGTACAAGTATTGAGTAATACTGCGGCTCCGATTTTCATGTAACCGGGAATTTTAATATTTAAAAAAGGTTAGAGTAATAGACGTAATAGACGTAATATAGTAATAAGATGTATGGGAGATCAAAACAGCTAGTTTCCTTATAAGGAACCTGTATAAGGAACCTGTACGGTAAGAATAAAAGACCAAAATATATATTTCATGGGGAAAACTAGATCGGTATGCAATGGTAGTAACCATAGTGAGTAAAAGATAGACAGTCCCCATGCTCTGGCTAGGGGCCAAATACTTTTTTTCTCGTTGCCCGGGGCTCCCTTGCCGCAGCAACCCAGCGCCTATCAGAGCTCATCACCTTTTTCTACTATGTCTTGGGTCTAGCTTTGTCTCCCCTGCTCTATGGAAGGAGGATTGTCTCTCTCGGTACCCTTGAATATGCGAAATTACCTTTCCATCAATCTTCCTTGGTTCTTCCAAATAGTATCCACCAAAAGAGAGAAAACTTTTCTCCCGTGTGTGTCCGTCACCAAATGAACCACAGGCGAGCTGAAAAAAAACGGAGCCAAAGATCGAGTCTAATGCAAAAAATATCCACTTTCCCTGTCTTCGGGAGAAAAAAAAATTTAGAGCTCCTGCAAGTGATGGGAAGCAAGTGATGGGATGCAAGGGTGCTTCGATTGAACGGCTTCTTTTTTTATTGCTTTGAACATCGCGATATGCTTCAATCCAGAATAATCTTAGAAATCTTAGAGAACGACAGAAATATCCCGATCACTTGAGCCTAACCCAATTATAGCGCAATATAGTGCTCGATCGAGTCAGCCCCGATAAGTGATATTCATTTTCGGGAGAGCTCGAGGTGTTGATTGGCCACACCGGAGAGCGTGGAATCTCAAGATCTCGTCATCTCCGAAAATATAAAAAGAGTTCGTACTATCTGAGCTCTATTAAGCAATATCAAGAGCCGA